GTCTCACAAAGAACTGTAAAATATGTTGTTCTTCATTTAAAAAGGCTGGAGATTTGATGCAAAATGTTTGCTTATGCTCTTTTAAAGAGAAAAAAGAACTGCAGTTCCATGTTAGCCCAGGTTATATTCAGATCATTGTTAACCATTATATAAAATATATGCCTGGCTGACAGTGCCTAAATAAATTAATGCTGTTTCTTTCTGGCCTATAGATTTGGTATGGACAAAATAATCCATTTTTGCTGAGGACTACAAGCTAAGTTTAGTTCTCTGTTTAACGCTAAATAAAACTTTTGTCCTTTAATTTTTTTACTATTAAGTCTTAATGCAATATGGTAGGATTAATAAGATTTGCCAGCCTATTTATAAACTATGTCTGATTAAAAGTTTTGCTTTGATTTTAGTTTAAAAAGAGCAGATTTAAAGTTCTGCTAAAGATTATAGTTAAGATTGAGCTTTACCTAGTCTCTTTATTTAGGTTTTTTAAAAGGGTTAAATCTAAAATGGGTAACCATAAAATTTGCCTATATAGATTTACTTAAAATTTGGTTCTAAAACATGCATCTAATAATATGCCAAAATTAGAGATTATAGCATCCTGTTTTACAGGATGCAGTTTAGAGCAGATGATAAAGATAAAAGAATAACTGGCCCTCAGACTTGTCAGAGATCTGATAAATATGGCATTTTAACACATGTAAGCTTATTAAGACAGAGTCCAACCTGTTGAGGCACAAGAAAACAAATTCAGTTTTTAAAGGTACAACCTACAGTTTTCCACTTAAAATAAAAGTTATTGCAATTGTTAGTGCTTTAATGGTATTTACTGATGGTTCATCATCTGGTGTTGCTGCCAATACTTATGATAAAAAAAACAATATCTTTTCAAGTGTCTAGCACATTTGCACAAATAGCAGAGTTATCTGCAGTACTGGCTGTATTTCAAAATTTTAATAAGCATCTTTAAATATTTTTAGTCTTTAAATATTTTAGTGCATATAGCTCAGTCTTTGCCTAGGTTAGAGACTATAGATTAAATTTAGACATCTATTCCTGCTAAAATTTCTTTTACAAATTCAAAATTTGATACAAAAAAAAAAACTTTTCCTTTTACATTGGACATTTACAAGCTCATTCTAACCTTCTAGGACCTTTAACTCAGGTGATTACAAAGCTGACTTGGCTAAACAAATGTCATTCTTGTGTTGTCCTTTTGCCTATTCCCCATCTTGGGGTCAATCCCCGTGGCCCTGTACCTAATGCTATTTGGCAAATGGATGTTACACATATTCCTGAATTTGCTAATTTAAAATATGTTCATGTTCTTGTTGACACTTATAGTGGGTTCATATTTGCTACACTCCAAACTGGTGAAGCGGGAAAAAATGTTATCGCTCATATGCTGTCAGCAATTACTATATTAAAACTTCCAAAACAACTTAAAACAGATAATGGCCCTGGCTATGTTAGAAATATGTTTTCAAAATTTTGTCAACAACTTAATATTAAACATATTACAAGTATACCTTATAATCCACGAGGACAAAAAATAGTACAAAGGGCACATTGACCTATAAAAAATACTTTTAAAAAAATAAAAAAGGGGGAGTTGTATTCCATCAAAGGGTCTCCTAGAAATTCTACATCCCATACATCTTATATTTATACATCTGTAAGCCCGGCACGAGTTTAACTTCCAGAGAGGTAACCAAAGGAAACTCTCGGAGGCTTTATGCAAAAGCAAGAGGTTTATTCGGGCCAACTCACGTTGGGGTCACTTTGCCAGTCAGCAAAGAGTGGCCTCCAGAGACATAAGCCTCGGGATTTTAGGGAGGGGGCATGGGGAAGTTCAGGGGTTGCAGTCCTAGCTACTCATAATTGGACGAGGGGCTAGGGTAGTGGACTTTCAGGTCTGGTCAGTCCTGGCCAGACACCTGGGGAATATCTGATCTTTAATTCACGTTCTGAATTTTCTGCTAGTGGGGATATGGCTACAGCCAAAGGTGGGAGAGCAATTAGTTTCAACCTGTGTCTTCTCTGAGGAGCAAGCCTGAGAGAAGGTCGGGGGCTGTTCAGGAGAAGAATTGAGTCCATCTGGGTTAATTGCTAGGCGATATTATTTCTCAAGCGTATATCTGGTCATTCTTCTTTGCAGAGTGGAGGTCTTCGCTTGCTCACTTCCTTATCTCTGCCCGAGCAGATGACCAGGGTCTGGGGCGGTTACATTCCTCTGCTCTCTGGAAAAGTACTGTGAGGCTTTAATTAACACTTTAACACTGGCTTGAAACTCGAAAATATAGGTTACAATGTTAGTCTGATCCTCTCAGGACAAGGATGGACGTTCAGCTGCAGAACGTTTCTGGCATACGGATACACAAAGGCAGTTTGCTACTGTCCCATGGAAAGATCCTTTGGACAATAAATGGCATGGTCCAGATCCTGTCCTGATACAGGGCAGAGGAGCAGTTTGATTCTATTCTAAAGAGATAGATGCAGCCAGATGGTTGCCGGAATGATTAGTAAAGCATATAATTATTAATACTCATCAGTCCAGGGTAGAAGAATTACCCTGAGAACATATTCTTTTTATATCTCTTTACAGAAATGATGGAAGAAAAACAACTGTTTTCATGGACCATGATCCTTTGCTTCCAGCTGAGTTATGTTCATGGTAGACTTGAACCCTTCAATCCTCAAGCAGCACAGGAAATTATGGAAATGATTTATGGTAAACCCTGTAAATGCAGAGGAGGAAAATTTACAGGAACAATGCTGTTTCTATGCCAATAAATCAGGCATAGTGAAGGGCAAAATAAAACTACAAAAAGACCTGGAGAGGCAACGAAGAGAGTTGGCTGAATTCCCCTTCTGGAATGGGTTAAATGGACTATCTACCCTACCTCCTCCCCCTCCTTAGTCCCCTGCTTGGCTTGTTGATAATTCTTTCTCTTGGACCTTTTCTTTTTAACAAGCTTATGGCCTTTGTCAAACAGCAAATTGATGCCCTAAAGGTTCAGCCCATTCAGGTGCACTATCAAAGGCTCGAGATGGTCAGCCAAGAAGACTATGAATAGGCCTAATGCTGATCATACCAGTGAGCTGACCCCGTTAGCCAGTGACCGGTAAGAGAATCCACAGTGGTCTTCTGTTCTTCGCTTTTGCTGCCTAAGACAGGAGCTCAGCCAATAGCTGCTGATGTATCCAATGACAGGCTTAGCAAGGGTTGAAGACCCCGGATTCCCACATAAGACAGGTTCCCTTGGGATTATGGCCTTGTAAAAATAAAGGGGGACCTGTGGGGGGCCTTCTGGTACCTTGCTGCCCCCAGAATTCTTGGCATTCGGTTTAATGACAATAGTGCATTCCCGGCTGACCTGGGGGGGTCATCTTGAAACACCTTAAACCCTCCCCCACCTCAGGGCTTCCCAAGTAACACTTCTGAGGAACTTTCCAAACAACCCTTAACACAACTTGTGACTCCTTTGTTGGGTTGTCCTGTGATTTCTAGTCACTTAGTAACCCTTCCAAAGGCAATTACATTTCTTATGCCTTGTCTATATAAAGGATGTAGAAAAAATAATAAACTGAGACCTTGATCAGAGAAACTGTCTTGGTCTTTGTTTCTTGAGTCTCTGGTCCCACCCCATTCTCACCCCCTCTCTTAGGGTCTCGTTTGACTGACCTGCGGGGCGGGTCAGAAAAAGATAAAAAGGAACATAAATAAAAGTTTTTAAAAAGTACACCAACACCTGTCAATCTGTTTCAACAACAGTGCATGAAATTGGAGTTCTCATCAGGCCAAGATTATCAGAATGCTCTGTCATTTCCCTCCATGGTACAGGGCACTTAACCCGGGGCTTTCTGCACAGCATAATAGGAAAGTACTCTGCCACTGAACTGTATCCCCTACCCTTAGTTTTGAGACAGGGCTATACTTTGTGGCTCATGCTAGCCTTGGACTCAGTCAAATTTGACTTTGAACTCACTACCCTCTTCCCTTGCTTCCTACTACCACTAGCCCTGTCTTTTTTGGTTTTGTTTTTTGGAGACAGGGTTTCTCTGTGTAGCCTTGGCTGTCCTGGACTCTATATATATCAAGCTGTTCTCAAACTCCCAGAAATCCACTTGCCTCTGCCTCCCCTAGCCCTGGAATTACAGGCATGCACCACTCTGCCTGGCTTGCTCTTTCTTTTTTTTAAAGGCCACTTTATCTTGACCTCAATAAAGACATCATAGTTATGACAGTAAAACCTGAATCTTTCAACTATCTGATATCTGTAATGAGGTTTACATTTTTGGCTTTACATGGTAGCACCCAACTGTAATCATCACATTTGGGAAAAAAAGCCAAAAGATCAATGCAAATTAGAGATCAGTATACAAAGTGAATTCCAGGATAGGGCCGTTACTTAAGGAGATACTGTTTCAAAAAGCCAAAAATAGGTCAGAGGGTAGAAGAACTTGCCAGGATGCCTGACCACCCGAGTTCAGTTCCTAAAATCAGCATGGTGGAAATTCCCAAAAGCAGTCCTCTGACGCCCACACACACACCATTGAAACGAAGATAAAATAGAATAATTTTTAAAATTTTATTTACTTCTTGGTAGCTGAAGTTCCAGATTCTGTTGTGGTTGATGGTATTAATCTAAATTCCATATGTAACTACCAGAAAGTTTCAGTTTCACTGGACAAGGCATAGGACAGCACTGGAAACTATTAAGTGTTGAAATAATTTCATCCTTGTCACACACACGTTTCATGTATTTTAAGTGTGCGCCTTTCCCACCAGACTCGAGGAGGACCTGCGTGTGGGTCCTGCGCTTCCATGCACAGAACGCGGGGCTCCCAGGGAAAGATACAGTACAAGTGAATGCGCACGTTCCTTGGGTGGCTTTCACCTCAGGCTGACCACGAGCCCATCAACTGTGGCGGGAGGACGTCTAGCAACCTTCCCTGGGCATTTTGCAGCGTCTCCACTGAAAAATGTGAATAATTCATACCTGTCTCCAAGTGCTGCAGGGAGGAGCCAGGCGACGAGTGTGCAAGTTCGCAGCCGAAATTAGTTAACTCATTCATCATTTAACGGACAGTTAAGCTACTGGACCTCTACGACGCCGTCAGTGGAGCTCCTCCAGCGGGTCGCGGCCTTTCAGATGCGCACGCAGGACAGGATGTCTCCCCCAACCCGCCCCACGCTGGTCTACGGAAAGCAGGTTGTTGCCCTCATTAAACATGGCGCTGGCGGCTTCGGAGGCTAGTGCGGCGGCGCGGACGCAGCTTGACCTCTGACCTGCTGGCAGCAGGCGGGGAGGGGTGCGGGTCGCCGCCATATTGGCTGTTGTCCTGTGAGGGGAGCGGCGGCGGCGGCGCGAGGGGAGCCAGAGAGCGGGGGAGCGGTGCGAGAGGCGGCATGACTCGGAGGCGGAGCAGGCCGAGCGGCGGCGCGGGCCGGCGGGAGCGGGCTCGGGTCGCGGGGCTGCAGAAGCCCCAGACGCCCGAGCCTCAGCCACCGCCGAGCCTGGAAGCGGGAGCAGCGGGTGCGGGGTCCCCGGAGGTGCCTGCGGAGCCTGATCGCGACGCCCCCAAGGAGGAGGACGAACCCAAGCTGGCTGCAGGCCCTCAGGTAGGAACGAGCAAGGCGACTGCAACTGCTCGGCTGCTTACACCTCCCGGGAGCGGGGCGGGATTGGGCATGGTCCATGCTGTCGGTCTTGGGGCCGATCCCAAGTCCGGAGCACAAGCTTGCAACCCCCTTGCCAGGGATGGAAGCTGAACCCCTCTCCAAAGCAAAAGCTCAGCCAACTCTCTTGCAACCCTTCTAAACCTACCCGTTCAACCCCTGCCCCGGAGCTAAATGTTCTGACCATTCAGGGTCACCGGGACTGGCTTAGGTTCTTGGACCTGGGCTTAGTTCTCTGCCCTCCCCTTCCCTTTGGACTCACCTGATCCCCCGACCCCTCAAAGATCATCTCAGGGCGCTGGAACCTGCAAGGCTGCAGCGTCTGTGCGCCCTCCCCGCCCCCCCAGCAGCTTCATTCGGTCCCCTGCACTGTCTGCAGCCACTACCGTCAACAGCTGTACCTCGGCATCTGCCTTCTGGGGCCTCCCTTCCACCCTCCCTCCCAGAACAGTTGGAGCAAAGAGCCAGGCTGCCCCAAAGACTGTTAAAACAACTCCACTAAGGAGGTCCCCTGTTCTCCTTCCACCTCCTGCCCCATAAGGCGCCCCACTCCCACCCCCGCCAGTCCACTAGTTTGCTGAATCCTGCGAGAGTAAGAGAATTCGGGAGGGTTCTCGAAAGCTTCCAGCTTGCCACCTGGAAGGGCGCTTTCTTTTGAGCATAAGAGAAAACAGGAGAGGCGGAGGGGGGAGAGTGGTTGGCGTGGGCCACAGTTGCTCAGGGAGGGTTGTGGCACCCGGGGCTGGGTGGCTTGCCCTAAGCTTGCTCTGACAAAAGAGTTTTGAGTTGGTTTTTTGGCTGAGCCTGCCGAGGAAGGCAGGCCCCTGCAGGAGTCTTGGAGGGTCGGATGCAGCGCCGGATGAGGATGAGGCGTGGCGGAAGATGCGTTTGACTCTGCAGACACTGCATCGGGCAGCAGGGGACTCTGGGAGGCTGGTGCAGCCTGAAGGCATGGCTCTTGACAGCCTTCTAGTAGAATCTCTGGAATTGTGCATGTGAGTGGGGATGCCATTTGGGGTACCATTCCTGGAAAGCTTTCCCTGACCCCTCCTCCCCAGTTACACCAAAGTGTCCCCTGTGCCCACAACCCTCTTTGTTTCCCTCTGGTGGCACTACTCCTTCTGTGATGAAACTTGTTGATGTGTCTGTACCAAGCACTGAACTGTAAACACAAGACACAAAAACATCAGGGGATGCAGTTTTTGTGTTCCTCCATACCTATCCCAGGCATTGCCTTTATAGAACAGAACTAACTAGGTGAATGAGAGAGAGAGAAAATGAATCAGCCCGGAACCTGTGCCTATTGTAACCCAGTTTTGATGCTGGTCTCCTTTGTGTCTTGTATCACAGTGAGAAGATTTTTAGTTAGTGGAAGTGTCACAGTGTCTTGAATGTTGGAAGCAAGTCTGTCATCCTGCCTTGTTGCCTAGGCTGTCGCAGTTAGAGTCCTCTCCTGCTGGGTCTGGCTTTCATTTGAAGGTCGCTTCCCCTTCTAACCTACTTTGACCCCCACTAGGAGTGCTGTTATCTAGAAGAGAGCCATGGAGCTGTTTTTTTGTCCTTTCTTTCCTATTCAGACATATATTACTTTAGGGAACCTGTCACATAGACCAGAAAGTTTGTGTGCTGTCTTAACCATTCATTTTTCTAGAAATACAACTTTTCCCAAAATTATAGCCTTTGTTAATTTCTCTGATCCAGGTTTTTATAGATTCTTATCTATGCTACTGCTTGACCTATCTTTAATCATGCCAGGTGATTGATATACCTTCTAACCTTTCACCCCACCCTTCGTATTTCTCCTCAGTATAGCACTAATAGGATGCATGAACTACTGCTAAGTTTTCTGTTTGCTTTTCCATAGAATTCTAGAATGCAAGAGTCTTGTTAATCACTATCAGATCCCTGTTACTAGTGATGAACAAACTAGAGGATTTAACTACAGTTACCCTGTACAGCAATTAAACCTACAGCAATTAAATATTCACAGAATGACTCCCAATTAAAAATATAAGGCAAAAAATCCAGTCGTATAAAAAAATCACTCATATATTCCAGGGAACTGAAGCATCAGCAAGCTCTGCTCCTTTTGTAACCCACTCTTTGCTAAGGGTAGAAATGAGATTCAAGAAACAGCCTTTTGTGCCCTTGCCAAAAGTACCTGGTGTCAGGGTAGAGGCTGTTCATTGCTCTGTCCACTGTTAGACCTTTTTTAAGGATCTTGGTTCAGAACTCCCCTCAGTTGTTTTGATGTAGAGTGGATAAGGAAGGTGAAACTCATTGTTAATGTTACTTTCTGAGGCAAGTCCATTGGTGGCAAATAAGACCACCCAGTCTTTAGACTTATTTTCATTCTAAGGTCCCAAACTCATACACTGTTTTATTTTTGTTTGTAATCTTAATGTAAGCTGATATTTTGAAGCAACTGTGTGGCTAGGTGTGGTAGTCTGTGCCTGTAATTCTAGCACTTGGGAGGCTGAGGATGGCTTTGGGTTCAAAGTTAGTCTGAGCTATATAGCAAGTTGCAATAGGCCAGCCTATTTGCATCACCCATTACAATAACAATGGAAAACATGAAGTTAAAAGCCTTCTCATGCCTGCATCCGTGCCTCTTAAAACCCTAACCTCTTGGTGATGCTGAAGCCACCTCTGAAAGTAGGCATCTGTAGTCCGGACAGCACATGCCCCCTTGGGGAGTCTGTGCTCCAGCCTCTTGGTTCTCTCTGGACCTCTTGACTCATTTTGTAACCTGCACTTTCAGGTTCAAGCCCTTAAGGTTATTTGGGAACTCCAAACCCTTTCAGTCACTGTAATCCACTGAATCTGCTCTTTTCACCTGAATTCCCCAGCCCTCTTTTACTTCAAGATAAAGCTTAAACAGGTGCTTCCTTTTTAGCAAAGGATGCTAGGAAGGTGGAAGCAGGTCGACTCACAGAACCTAAAAGCGGGCCAAAGAGCAGTGAGAACTAATTTACCAGCTTGCATTCAACTCCCTGCTTTTTCATCTGCTTTGTGTCTCAGAGCTGGTTCCTTTCCCTGTTTGAGCTTCAAAAACAAGAGAATGTGAAGCATCCTAGCATGCAGGGTCTCTTCTGGGTGGTGGGAGCTGTGTTGCGTGGCCAAAGCCAGTCTCACCTACTACCTTTACCAGTTGACTTTTGTTCCAAACCATTCAGCTGGTAACCTGTGTGCACTTAGCACCCAGGAGGCTTACTAAGGAAACTGGGGCGGGTGGCAGTGAGTTCATCCTATCCTTTCCCTCTCGTCCCTCTCCAGAATCTCCTAGGACAGTCCAGTTTAGTGGCAAGGCGCTCCAGAGACCTGGTTCTTCCAAAGCTGGGTAAATCTGTTCCCTTGAGGAGCTGGCTAAGATGATCAGTCAGTATCGTTATTGAAACCATTTCTTTATGTTTTTTTTTTAAAGGTTTATTTATTATGTATACATATTTTATATTTCATATTATGTATACAGTGTTCTGCCTGCATGTCAGAAGAGGGCACCAGATCTCATTATAAATGTTTGTAAGCCACATGTGGTTGCTGGGAATTGAACTTGGGACCTCTAGAAGGTCTGTGCTCTTAACCTCTGAGCCATCTCTCCAGCCCCATTTCTTTATGTTTAATTCATTCAGCAAGTTTCAAAATGATCTCTATAACCAGAGCCTTTGAGGTACACAGAAGGTCAAGGCAGTTCCTGTCCTCTAGGGCCTTCCCCTGATGGCTCAGGCCTGCACCACTTTCATGGCCAGTGAGGAAATGATATGAGGGGGAACCCAGCCTAGAACTACCTTGTTCGTTCTTGGAGGCCAGAAAAGACTTTAGTGCAAAAATACCAGTGACCTTTGAAGATAAAGATTTGTCCACTCAGTTAAAAATTTTTTAATTTCCTTAAAATGTCTCAGAGTAGCTTAATGCCTGATAAGAGATGGATGGTCACGCTCATAACACCTTCACTTACTGTAGCTAGAAATTTTTAAGACAGGGACCATTTTAATTAAATCACTTTAAGGATATTGTGTATGAATGTTATTGGTCAATACATGGCTGTGATATAGTTCACAGCACCAGACTCACTGCTACAAATTCAGGCCAACTGTGGCACACACACTGTCATACCCAGCAGTCCCCGTGCCTAGCAATCCTTTGTTTTGCCAACACTAAGTGACCCCACAATTCCAGGCTGTCTACTAGCTGCAAAAGCGGAAGTGAATAGAACCTGGTTCCTGTCCTGGGGAGCAAATCCTGAATCCTCTTTGTTGGCCTCTGGAAGTGTTCTAGCATTCTTGGTTTGTTTCCTCCTCAAATGACAGTGAATCAGAGGTAACAGGGTTAATTCTAGGGACCAACAAGTCCTACCTGTCAAGCACTCAGCACAATTGTCACTATAATTGTAGGTGCTTGCTGATTGGGATGGTAATCTAGGGGAAGCTGAGGTGGAGAAGCTTCTCAGAGCCTAGTATTCATGGTTGACTATTTCCAGAACGTAAAACAGAAAGGAAGTAGTGTCTACGGCAGGCTT